CCCCAAAACCCCAAAACCCCAAAACCCCTTGTCACAAAATTTCTCCGCTAAAAATGTCTATAAAAAATAATGATTAATAAGAAATAATAACTATATCTGAAATTTTAATAATATCTTATTATCAATATCTTTAATTATTTATCCTAAAAATGAGTCAACTCGTGCTATACTTATGCTCTAACATAATCTCACTTTACAGTAAGTTAGATAAATAAACATTATGTATTTACATAGATGAGGATTAAAGATAGATTCAAACAATAAGCACTCCATTGCCCGAACAACCATAGAGAAACTTAGGTTATTCATATCTTCTAGATCAAGAATAGATTGTCAATTGGAAACAAGTATTTCTATCATCATCCTAATTCATTTTTTAGAGTCTAAAAATCTAAGAGGATGACACTGGAAAATCTACTGTGAAATAAATAATCCTCAAATTGCAAATCTTGTTCTAAAAAGAAATCAGATAAGATCGGAAATAGAGAATATTAGCTATTATCTCACCAGATAACGAAGTTTTGTTTGAGCTGGCAATTTTCACAATGAACCGAATCGTTGTTTTCAGGAAGTAAGAATTTTTATAATAAGCTTATAATAACAATTTATAATAGAGGTCAGAAGTTTTATAGGAAATCTAATCTTAAAATTAACGAGTGGAATGATATATAGCTAGCAATGGATCAATTCAGCTTTAAATTACTGATTAATGGAGAGTAAAGAATAACAGAAAGCTTCACTCATTTGGACAGTTCTTCTTACACTTTAAATGATATATTGGATAGCTAATTTGTTCTAGGTGGACATTTGTCTTCTTTTAGCGAGAGACATCATTTGAAAAACTATCTCTTCAATGGCTTTATCAAAGACTTCCAAACATGCGTCTCTAATTAAATTGATGCAGGGAATTAGGAGGAAGAAAAATAGTAAATTCACACTGCTTAAGTAAGTAACTTAGAAATTTTTATAAGAAATATAGAATAAATCTGAAAGTACCCAGAATCCAATTATCGACTTACATGAATTGATGAAGTCCAATGATGATGAATTCATGTTTATACATAGTCTTTATGAATTAGCTAAGTTTGATCCTTTAAAGCATTGCTACCACAAATCTACTGTTATGCTTGCACCTAAAAAACAGAGAGTAAGTCTTGTTTACTAATTTTAGAAAATACCTATATTGATAAGTGTCGCTATAACTACAATATTTTTATCTTTGAATATAGGATAGAAAGGTTTTAATATGTCATGACATAATGGATGGCTTGCTTGAGGAAAAATATTCGCAAGGATTACTCTCGCATCACAAGTAATAGATAATAAGTTTTATTAAAATATAGTCAAAATATCTAGGAAAGTTGGTATAGATTCAATCATTGGTAGTACATCGATGTTTTTGTATTCTTTGGTCACTACACAGTGACTATCCCTCCTCCAGCTTACACAGATATAGCTCATTAGCATGGAGTTAAGATGCTAGGCACTCTCATATTTGAATGGGACGAAGGAGGAAAAGAAGCCAAGCTTATGCTTGATGGAAAGATTTCTATGTTCTACGATGAAAACGAGTAGGACATGAAATTTAGAAAAGACGCTCCAGATGGCAACCAGTTTTATGCAAGAAAACTCGTTGAAATAGCTAAGTGCTTTGGGTTTGACGGCTATCTGATGAACTTTGAGTGTGAAGTCAAGGAGGTTGAAACCTTGCTAACCTGGCTAGAATTTCTGACCACAGAGATTCACAAGGAGATCCCAGGATCTCTGATTATTTGGTATGATAGTGTGATCCACAGTGGCGAGTTAAAGTGGCAGAAGAGACTTAACGAGCTAAACTATAAGTTCTTCTTGGTGACTGACGGGTTCTTCACTGACTATAAATGGAGCACTGACTTTCTCAAGGATAACGTAGACAATTTCAACTTGTATGTGAAAAGTCAAAACCCCAATCTCAACACATACGATATCTATGTGGGTAACGATGTTTACGGTAGAGGAACATATGGTGGAGGTTAGCATAATATACATGTAGCCATAGACGAGATACATAAGCATGATACCTCAATAGCAATATTTGGCTAGGCCTTTTGGTATCAGAGATTTGATGGCTACACCAATCCAAGAATATTTAACCTAAACGAAGATATATTTTGGAAGGGAAGGAATTTAGTGCAATTTGCTGACTCAACAGGTAGATTGTTTCCGTAGGGTCAATAGATTAGCAAGGAGAGAATGCTCAAAGAGTGGAATATGGAAGTTGGGGACAAAGCGTGGGCTGTCCATCAGAATCCTATTTCCCTTCAGTTTTCAACAATGTAAATTTGTCTCTTTTATTAGTTTTTAGTGCTTCTCATAAACCTTGCGAAAAGAAGTTTAATTTTACAATTTCAGAGCTAATTGATTCTAAGATAATTGAGGATATATCAGAGCTAAATGGAATCGTATTTTTATCTAAAGTGACAGGAACAAAACCTAACACAACTGATCCTTACAGATACAATATTACTCTATATGATAAAGATATGAATATCATCCAGCAACTAGCATCTAATTCAACCATGGATGAAGGATTCACTCCCTGTAAAGAACATGCTCTTCCTATTTAGATCTTTGAACAAATTTTCCTTAGTAAAGACATTAAGGACACCTTAGTATCAATTGAGATAGTTGAGGTTGGAATGGATGCTGAGGTATGGGCAGGGCATTACGGAGCTCAATTTTCCGATGAAAGACTCTATCTTGATATCAGCAAAGCAAATGCTACTGCTTGCAATAATACAAGCCTTCATGATAGATTTCAGAGCAGAGGGCTGGAATTTGAAGATATTTGCACTTATTTCAACATAGGCCACGGGAATGCTTACTTTGTTGATGGAATTGAAGTAACCAAGGGTAATTACTCTCACCATTGTGAATATGACATCGTATTGCTTAAAAGTATCAACTAAAACATCCAGTCTAAGCTAGGCCAGGATATATTGTCATAGATTACATTAGATGGACCTCATTTCAATGGTGGCTCTTGCCTCTAGATTTTAGGCCAACTAGCTGACAAAAATGACGAGGTGTATATACCTCTATAGGATATCTGTCTGAGACATAACCCATTAATAGAGCTCTATGATATCAAAATAGCCTTCAAATTTGACTATCCTAAGTTCAAGACTGGCTGCATTGCAATGGTGCTTTAATATGAAAATTCAGAAGACGAGGAAGAGATTGAAATATTTAACTTGGAAATTAAAAGTGCATAGCTGATTTACACTTAAAATTCTTGGGCTATTTACGAGGAAAGAATGAAAACTTTTAACAAGACATTAAAATCAATAGGCATCAAAATTGCCTAGACAAATATGACTCAGATAGACTTCAGATTAGGAATGGTTGCTGTAGTTCCTTCAGTATTGATAGAGCCAGATAAGATATAGCTTAGCATCAAAGAAGGATATCCTGTCATTCACAGAAATCTAGTCTCTGTTAAAAAGAATAAAAAGTATTAAGACATTCACATTGGATGGGATATCAGTCCTTCTAACATTCAAGTGTTTATCAAGCACTATAGAGTCTTCAGAAACGAAAAGTTCATTGGAACAACAAAGCTAGATGTATACTTTGATCCTTAAGTTGCTCTTGATAAAGATAATTAACTAGAGTATAAGATTTAGGCTATTTCCAAAAGAAATGAGATTATTTCTGAGATTAAGATTCAGCCTGACACCATCTGATTATTGGAATAGATATAATCTAGAAATAATTTATGTAATCATTACTGACGCTATTAAACTTTGATTGATGGGGTTTTGGGGTTTTGGGGTTTTGGGG